CTTCGTCATCAGACAATAATCCTTCCGACCTCTGTCGCCTGCCGACTATGGTCCTTCTGACTTGTATCGCCCACCGACTACAGTCTTTTTGACCTCCGTCGCCCGCCAACTAAGGTCCTTTTGACTTACATCGTCAACTGACTACAGTTCTTTTGATCTTTGTTGCCCGCCGACTATGATCCTCTTGACTTATATCGCCCTCCGACTATAGTTTATTCGACCTCCGTCGCCAAATAACGATCTTTATGACCTCTGTCGCTCGTCGACTACAGTTCTTCTGACCTCCGTCACCAGATTATGGTCTTTCTAACCAAATAAACACGTCAACAGTGATTATTTGTATTCTCACCATGTAATGTACTTTATAAGATGTACATCAAGCTAAGGCCTTCCCCAAATGAAGGGCCTTATTTGTAATCAACTGCAATACTAGTGGATTCATTCAAGCTGAGCTAGACCTCGTGATTTTTTCTTCTTTTTAGGGATTTTCAACGTAAAAATATTGGTATCTCTCATAAATACTACACATTCTCTCTTATCTGATTGCGTGTCGGATTTTCGTACAATGTTAAGACGTTATATTTTATATTTCTCTACCGCCGTAAATACTCCTGGACGCAACAATAATTTATGAAATAAAAAAATTTACAAACTTTGCAATCTACTTTTCAATTTCTGATAATGTTGCATAATAACTTCATTCGGAACATAGTCAAATATTTTCTTCTCAATGTATGACACTATATAATCATTAAGCCAGACATCATCCATTTTGTTACACAACTGATGTTTAATAATCTTCAGTACGGAAAATGGTCCCTCCAATGTAGTAGTAACAACTAATAAATTCAGTGCCAAAATTATAAGTCTATAAACTAGGGGATACATAATATTTTTTTTCCTTTACAATCTATTTTGTAAAAGCAACAATGCTTGTCAAAGATGTAAACTTATCGCTAGTACGCATATCAATAATATAAGTAGATAGTTGATGATCAATGCACAAAAACAACTATAGAGAAATTTATTAGATACAACTCAGTAAGACGAATTAACATCCCCTTGTAATAAGCATAGAACATATTACTTGGATTTTGACATGTCACATAAAGAAGTAACTATGTACTAGTTTAAAAGAATCAATTATTCAGTTCCTGAAGTTGCCTATCAATAATAATATTGAAGAAATCAACTAAATAATAATGAATGTTAGTTATTTATGCACATTTTCGTACTAACTATCCACGAGCCTTGAATTTAGAATCAATATTTGAAACTTCAATTTAAAAAATATTACAAAAACGTAACACTTCTTTAAGTAAAGGCTTCCATTCATTTTCCCTCATCATTTGCAATCGTTTTTTATACACTTGTACCAATTTCATTGCATTTATAATATCTTGGTTCTTTTTTATAAGACTTATGATAATTCATTTGTAATCTCTAAAATTTTAATCATTAAATGGAGTGACAAGACAAAGTTAAAAGATTCAATGACATTTATTAAAACACCAGTTTCAATAATTGTTGATCATGTATTCCCTCTTCCTTGATAATTTCAAGCACTTAGAGTACAGAAGTATACATTTTATTATATTGATTAATGTTTAAAAATATGAACTTCAACGGGTATCACCAGTATGATGCAAATTAGTTTCTTGATTCAAACCTAGACCACTAATTAACTCTCCATTACTTAAATAAAAAACTATTTTATCATGCTGCATAACTTTTAGAGTATTTCTCTTACATACTCCAACAATATTTATAATTTTTGAAGTAATCTCAAATAAATGTTTTGCTTGCCAATGATTTTTTGCAACAATAACCAAAGCTAATTGGAGTTGATGAGCAAAACATTGAATATAAAATATTTGAGGATATTTCAGAATGAGTTCTTTTAAACCATTAAACTCATCCCGCATATTAGATGCTACATCATAACATTGACATCATATTTTATGTATACTTAATGAATATTTTACAAGAAGAGCTCCAGCTGATGCCTTAAGTGCAATTTAATTTGTTGAATATACATGACTAATAACAATGAACCTCACAATTATTTAGCCCATCTTATCCACTATATCACCGCAATAGTTAACTATTCTTTTGTAGATACATCAAAAGATTGATCAACTAGAATTTTGAAGTACGAATCAATAATATCATTCATGATTACAACCAAAATCTCAGCAGTCATACAAATACAAATCTCTTTTTGGACTTTTGGTGCAATCAATTTTAACTTAGCACTTGTATTTTCAAATATAACTTTTCGGACCTCTTCAATATGATTTGCAAGAAAATGAAATAATTTTATGTAATTTCCTTGGTTATCTAAGCTGGAAGATTTATCATGCCTATGAAACGATAGCCCTTGTCAAATAAGAAAGCGAACACAATCAACAGCTGCAATTAATATGATGCAATATTCTTTTTTATTATTCTATTTTTTTCTTGACCATAAAGCGGGGATACTCTATTCTTGAAGCTTCATTAAAGCCTCACATTAATGTCTTTCCTTGTTATGCGCATTATTGTGTTCCCCGACATGATTCAAAAGCTTCTCTTTTCTCTTCCAATTCTTAAATCCCTAACGAACAAAAGTGTCTCCACCACCTTAGCAAGTATTAATTAGCTCTTGAGGCTTAAATAAGTAGTAATAAAGACAAAATATGTTATCCTTTTGACACTATATTCTATCCAATCAAGAAATTCTTTAACCATTTGGAATTAAATCTATGTGCAATATTTCCTATCGTTGTTTGAGAGAAATGATGATTTTTTATTTGATGCGGTCCCTTCAACAAATAAGTTCTACAAATTTTATTCCTCTCATTCACATCATAACTTCAGATTGATGGTCGAAGACCAGGGTCAGTAGGGAGATTGTTAATATCAATATTGACACGTTATTTTCGCTTCAAGAATCATTTCATTTCTCAGAAGCCAGACAAATATCTCAACAAAATAAAAACTAAAATAAGCTCCTAATCCCAAGAATGAAATGTAATGCTCCTAAGTATTTAAACTCTACGATAAAATTTGAGAGTTTTTGAATGTTTTGTGACTTTTGTCTTTCTGTAAGTAAACAAATTCATTATAAAAATGCATATTCAATTCGTTAAGTTTATAGAGTTTGAATGGTAGGCCAATACCTGTTGCAATATGTCCAGAACTAGAAACACAATCTTCAACTTAATGGTTCTTCCTCACCAGATATTCAAATAAATTAAACTTGGCTTGATTTGAAAATGAGGATGACTATTTTAATTGTGGAGAGTTTGGTGAGCATAAAGAATGATTTCATAGGTCTAACGTACTCTAGATGTGATGTTGGTCAATTCTGTACTGAGTTGACCAAGGTTGGAAATTTGGTTAATATTTTTCTGCTCACTAGAGACTTGTTATGGAACATGAACAACAAACAGAAAATAAGACTATGGCTAAATTATTTCCTAGAATTTTGACAAAAATAACTGCAAATTAATTTAGTGCAGAATATGAACTAATAATCTTCTGATTAAAGCAAAGTTTTCATTTTTAAATTCAGTTACGATTTCTTTCCTTGTTGCTGAAAGTTTTTGATACAAAATAAATTCGGATAATCCGATTTTATAACTTTGCTATCTTGCATTTCTTTAAAACTTTTAGAACTTTTCAAAATATTCTTAAGCGTTAAAAATAGATCATCTAAAAATGCTAGTTGGATTAGATAAAGCTTACCTTCAAATTGAAGCAAGGTTCGAAGGCTTCAATCCGGACAAAGGCTGTGTAGAATGGCGACCTCTTCAAACCACCGAGAAGATGCGAAGAAGAAGACGAGGGCTAAGACGCCGGTGTTGGGTGAAGAAGAAGGTTGCGACAACGAAGTGCGAAGCCGAAGGGCAAAGACGAACGATGGAGGCGGGAAGACGCGCGAACCGTCGTCTTATGTCTGTTCGAACTTCGGGAGCGGGATGAGCAGAACTCACGAGGTTGAGTAAATTTGGGCAAAAATACCCTTTTAGTACATTAATTTTTTTTAGGGTGGACATTTGCCCACCACCCTAGCATGAACCGGGATCTTCTTGTGTTCAAACTGGTTCACATTCTAATTTTCCTTGAAGTAGATTCAAACAAGATTTGATCGAATCGTATTATAACCTAATTCGATCAAAGTTTCCTCAAAATTTGAACTAATTGGTTCAAATTTGTCAATAGTCCCATTGGTGAGCCCCAGTGGGCTCCATAATTCAAAACTGTGTACAGGGGAATATATATATTGAGTTATTTTTTTATTTTTTCCAGATTGTGGTGGATACAATTTATTATTTATTTAAATGAAAATTTATTTTGGAAATTGTTAATATGACTTGCGAATTATGCTTACATATGATTTGCTATAAAATATTTTTGTAAACATATTGAAAGACTTGGCATGATTGATGCGATGCTTTGCATGTGTTCTGATGTGAGGAAGGATATGAAATGTCATATGATCATCTTTTTTGCATCGATGAAACAAGTTAATGGGCATTATGCCATTATCTCTATGATAGTGAGAAGAGGGCAAGGCTTTTCTCCCAAGATTTTATAGCTATTTATTGAATGTTTACCATATTAGACTACTTTCTATCTATTTAGCTTTGTTCTCCCAACTACTATATAATATAATAATTTTTTTCAAATGTGAACAAGAGTCATCATTTTGATTACAGCCTAATGTGTGATGATTCGACAGTTCTTTCGAGAAAGTTTATGCTGATTTTAATGAGTGAGTTTTCTTTACGTTCATACATTTATGTTAATGTTAGTGATTATGATGCCACATATTTCAAAAATACATTGTCAAGAAGGTAAAAAGAGAATGAAAATTATTCTCTCCCTCCAGAGATGTTAGAGCTACTCTCAATGAGCAAATCACCTTACTCCTTTCCTCGCCAAAAATAAGAAGAGAGAAGCAATCACAAGCCATTGCACTTGTTTGCTTGCCTTTGGCTCTGTAAATAGTACAATATGCAATGATAGGCTAATCATTGATACTCCAGAAATTGCAAAACTGGATTGAAAGATTCATTTCAATCACTCCATCTTTTATCCATGGTGGATAAACAAGCCTGATCATAAAGTTGTATATAGCTATATTTTCAAAAAAAAAAAAAAAAAAGAGTTCGAATTCGTTGCCATCAATTTTTTGCGGTCAGAGGAGCTCTACAGTCTCTTCGTAGGGCCTGTACTTGAGTCTCCTGGGCTCCAAGAAACTGTTTTCCCTCTCCACCAACGGCAGGCTTTGCCTCCCATGACTTCAACAACTCTTCAAAAGCAGGAGTTCTCATCTTCTCAATAAGGCCGGGACTGCACACATTAATTGGTCGTCTTGTTGGTGTCAAACAAGTTTCTTTGTCCACCTGATTTTCAAATGAAAACTGTTCCTAGTAAGAACCATTCTTTCAACTGCAAAGAAAAAGAAAATGATTTGATTCAAATCAAATAAGTTGATTACCATGTATTCTTTCTCCAAACAATTCTCTGCATTTTCTGTGATCTTCATGGTGCTGTGTTGATGTCCAATCTGTAGTTCTCTCAACTCCGCACGGCACGGTACAATTAAGGAATCAAATTTTTGACAAGTTTTATGATCAAGCTTCTGTGAACCTACATTTAGAGAATGTATATAAACTATTGCTGAAAGTTTGGCATGAAGAAACAGTTGGAGGATAAAGGAACTTACTATCAATACATGAAAGAAGACCGTTGTGCTCAATATCAAGATCTTCTATAGCAGTATTCATGGAAGCAGATGATCTACACTGTATTAGTTCATTTGCTTCTATTCCGCTTCTGCAATAAATTGGAGATTATATAAAAGAAATGTTTTAAATTTTTTTTTTTTTTTTTTTGCTTAGATGTATCGAGAGATGGAATACTTGAGGAGGGACTCCATTGACGATTTATTGTTTTGTCCAAGGGTAAGCAAGGAACTTTGAGCAGTCTCCCATTGCTGCAAACCTGATGTTGCCATTGATTTGCTGCATGTTCCAAGCAGAATTTCAGAGTGGCTTAAAGAGCCTTTTAAAGAGTCATGAAGAAATCACACCAACCATTCTTGGAGGCCTTCTTCTATGACCATTTTCTCACTCTCTACTGTAGTGCTATCTTCACGGTAGTTGTTTTCAGTTTCTTCCATGTAGATGGTCCATTGTTCCTTCATTCGATCAGTAAAATCTTGTGTTGAAGAAACTTCAGTCTTTAAGAAACTAGTTCTTTCAGCATCCATCTCTCGGAGAGCAAAAACTGCTTCTTGAACCTATGAAAAAGCAGACATATTAATGAAAACTCAAGAAAATATGTCCACCCATAAAATCAAACTGACGAGATTTTTTCAGCATATACGGAAATTAATTAAAACCTACATATAATTTGATTGCAACCAGTACTAATAGAACAATTGAGAAATTTTATAAAATAAGGTGTATAAAATTAGTAGAATAAATATTAAATATGTGATATATAATTTCATTGACAATTCTTCATTTATTGTTAGAGGATATTGTGCTACTGAAGTGTTGTTTGGTTAAAATACTTAATATATTTTGCAATGGTAAGAAAATAACTTAATATATTTTCCATTCAAACAATAATAACATTATAAGAAAAACTCGTTTGTTTTGAATGAAAATCTTTGAACAAACATTACTTAAAAGCTAGTATTCGAAGTTCGTAAAGTCGGCCTTTATGCCTTTTCCATAATAACATTGTAAGATAAAACAATGATGATTAAGCTGGATAATATTGGCATTAAATAAAACCTCTGAGAAATTTAATAAACTATAGATGTTTAAATGATGATTAAGTTTGTTTTGAAGGAAGAATTGACATTTATAGTTGTTTAGTTGAGTTTTATGTTGATTTAGTGTTATTAAGTTATCAATATTGATTTAGTGTAAAGGTATTTAATGATGTTAGTGTTTTCTAGATTTTAACTGCTGCATTATGGGGCTTTCGAAGATGTTAGTGACATCTAAGGATGCCTCCCATTTCAACTAACCACTACATGCCACTTGTTTAGGACGTATACACACTTTAGATAGCTTACTTATTTAAATACAACGTCTGACATCTTCAATAACATGAGCATAACAACAGATTAGCATGTTTATGACATCTATTAAGGCTTCTTTTGGGACAACTTTTTTACTGCTTCTTAAAATAATTTTTTAATAAAAAATTTTAATTTTTATATTAGAAAGTTGTTTTAAGAAGCAGTAAGAAAATAGTCCCAAACGAAGCCTAAATCTATTATGTGAACTTGTCTTTGTCCAAACATGTATAGAGCAATAACTAGTTTGTCAACTGCACAAGGATAATAATGTCATTGTAATTGTGGAAATCATTTAGGAGTATATACAAATAATAAAGTTTGTTTTGAAGGAAGAATTGACATTTATAGTTATTTAGTTGAGTTTTATGTTGATGTAGTGTTATTAAGATATCAATATTGATTTAATGTAAAGGTATTTAATGATGTTAGTGTTTTCTAGATTTTAACTGCTGCATTATGGGGATTTGAAAGATGTTAGTGACATCTAAGGATGCCTTCGATTTCAACTAACCACTACATATCACTTGTTTAGGACATATACACACTTTAGATAGCTTATTTAAATACGTGTGACATTTTCAATAACATGAGCATAACAACAGATTAGCATGTTTATGACATCTATTAAGGCTTCGTTTGGGACAACTTTTTTACTGCTTCTTAAAATAACTTTTTAATAAAAAAATTTAATTTTTATTTTAGAAAGTTGCTTTAAGAAGCAGTAAGAAAGCCGTCCCAAACGAAGCCTAAATCTATTATGTGAACTTGTCTTTATCCAAACATGTATAGAGCAATAACTAGTTTGGAACAACTTTTTTACTGCTTCTTAAAATAACTTTTTAATAAAAAAAAATTAATTTTTATTTTAGAAAGCTGCTTTAAGAAGTAGTAAGAAAGCCGTCCCAAACGAAGCCTAAATCTATTATGTGAACTTGTCTTTATCCAAACATGTATAGAGCAATAACTACTTTGGTACAACTTTTTTACTGCTTCTTAAAATAATTTTTTAATAAACAAATTTAATTTTTATTTTAGAAAGCTGCTTTAAGAAGCAGTAAGAAAGCCGTCCCCCAAACGAAGCCTAAATCTATCATGTGAACTTGTCTTTATCCAAACATGTATAGAGCAATAACTAGTTTGTCAACTACACAAGGATAGAAAGTCTGAAAATTGAAATCTCCAACTAATGTAAATAGGAGTAAACATACCAGTTTTTTCTTTCTAGCATTTGAATTTGCTAGCATTTCTTCGACTTTCATGAGAAATTGTTTTTCCTCTTTAGCAGCACACTCCTGAAGGCACAAGATAAAATTTATCAAAATATCACCAACATATTTTATCTTCTGTTAAGAGAACAAAAGAAAGCTAAAAGGGGTCCACCTCAAATTTCTTCTCAAGCTCATATAACTGTTTCTTTCGAATAGTTTCTGATTCGTCCACAATCTTGCTTATTTTGGCTGCCTGAACATCTAAATTACAGAAGAAAGTAGAAGTTATCTTGGAAATAGATCTTGTAGCTTCCACAGTTCTAAGATGTCCCTGTCGATAACAATTGATCATAAGAAAACACATAACAGACAATGAAGCCAATGGGAAGAGGGAAATAAATAAGCATTGTCAATAATAGCTACCAACCTCATGCTGCTTCCTTGTGAAAGAAACTAATTTGTCTTCCATCATAGAGAGGGTGGTTTTTAGCTCATTAAGTAACTGATTTCCCTCTTGAGTGATATTTTTAAGACACTGTAAGGAAGGGAGGTAAAGTCAGCTCTATGTTTTAACGAAAATTTATGAAATAAGATAGATTTTCTTACATCTTCCAGTCCAGAATAATGCATTGATATTTGTGAGTTGAGTTTCCCAAAAGTTAACAGTGACTTCTGCTTAAGTTCGCCTGTGAATCCATCCATACTTCTTATACCATTACCATACACATCTTTCAATCTCTCCATCCACTCGTGAAGTTCTTTAGTGGTCTAAAGAGTTATGACAGAAAATAATATTCACAAAAATTCATGAAAGGTTAACAAACTAGCTTGGCATCAACCATTTAACATACCTTAATCTTCGCAGAAATAAATTACCGCACTTCCTCTTCCATTTGTTTGAGATGGTTTTCTTGTTGTGTCAAAGATGTAGAGACGGTGTTGTGCAAAAGACCCAACTGCTCTGTCAAATGGGATTGAAATCTTTGCAGGATCATTTTGTTTCCATCTTCAATCTTGTTTTTCCTGTCTGAAATCCAATCACCAGAAATATGCACATGAGAGAAGAAGAAAACATGGCATTACTCCTGCTTATATTTTTAGAAGCAAATTTAATGGGTAGTGTCACCAACCAATTTTAGAACACAGGCCATAAAAATCTTCTGCTGCATCTTCAAGTTCAATTCGAAGCTCCAAAGCAAACTCAATAAGCTCTTCCTCTGAGAAAAGAGGGAAGATTCATGCCATACATGTCATTCTAAATATTTTGTCAAGACTCATAAAATAACTAATTTCTAAGAATACGAAATGCAAACGATCTTGGCCTACCAGACTCTAAAAGTTTAGATATCAGATATTCTTTTTCTTTAATAACTAAATTTGCTTGTTTATAACGTTGTTCGAGGTCAGATAAGGAGTGTTCCGTTTCATCCAGTTGTCTCTACAAAAAAAAAAAAAAAAACGAGCGTTAGTCTTTTCCGATTTCAAGTAGATGTCCATGAAAATTTTGAACTTGAAAGAGTAGTTCCATGCCTGAGTCTTTTCAAGCTTATCACTTAGATCCGCATGGAGTGTCCTCTGAGATCTGCAAAGATCTTTTAGACCAACCAATTCCTGTTTTCAAGGCAAGGCCTATGAATTAAACTATACCAGTGATTAACGGGGAGTTTTGCCATTACTAAAATGGGAATGATACCTTATCCCTTACTTCCAGTTCAACTTCCAAGCATTCCAATTTCTCTGACATAGCCTGAAGTGCAGACAAAAGCTTCAGTAATAATCATGCCTCATTTAAATCATATAAATGGTATTGCAAATTATCAGAAGCTATTGAAAGTAGTGAAATAACCTTTTTTAAAGCCTCGTCTTGCACAAAGCAATCTTTTGGAATGTATATACCGTTCTTTTCTCTTGCAGCATATAGTTCTGTAAAAATTATCATCATGAAATAAGCAAAATGATCCAGTTTGCTTTAAAAGAAAAGCAGTTCCTGTATAGTTTATCATTACTTCATAGCACTGAAAGAATAGCTTGAGCACTTATTCAGATTGACTATTTGAAAGTAAGGACTAGAAGCCACAAAGTTGTAATTACTCAGAATAATTTAGACTAGCAGTCTCAGAATCCAACATAATCATTCAAATATTCACTTTCCTAGTAAATTTGAAACCATTGAACTTTTCGGTAATGCCAAAAAAATGATGAGGAGATCAGGGAAGAAACCTTGTTTTAGGCGGTCTATCTCAGAGTACAAATCCTTGATCAGTGCAGATTTCATCATCTTTTGATTGACCTGGATTAATGAAAGACATTATGAGAACTATATCTTATAAAGTCTATGGAACTAATTTTAACCAGTCAAACTCCACCAAGAGGTATTGCGCAATCTACCTCTGGCTTGTTCTTTATGTTTTTGGCACGGTGTGCATAATCCAATGTATTCAATGTTTCTTCCAAGCAGTGTATGGATGGTGAGATTGTCGCAACAATGCAAGTCTTTGTTTTTCCTCCTAAGGAATCTCTCAGAAGTCTTGTTAATTTGCTATCCCTGAGGAAGTGAAAATTTTGAAGCAATGATTAGTCCTTGAAGAGGAGTATATATGCAAACGATAATAACAGAAAGTTGTAAAAAGGAGGTATAACCTATATGGAACATGGCCGGAGTGGTCAACAAGAGCATTAATAACTCGACCAAGTGTAAGCAAGCTTTTGTTAATTTCACCGGCTTCTCTTGCCCTATTCTACAATAATGAATCAATGACCAATCAGCAAATAATGTTGTTAGAACTGGGCATTTTTCAGTTATAATAGATGAAGAGTTACTCACATCTCTTGCACCAGACCTCGAAATGTTTTCGGAACCAGCTAGATCAACAAGATTAAGTTTCCCGCATTTGATCATCTCCTCACCCTCTGGAGTACACTCTTTCATATGAATTGTTATGGAAAAGATTGAATGTGATCGACTGCTTTGTTTGTTCAGCAATGTTTCTGCAGTACGCCTCTTCGAAGAACCTTTCTCTAGTATTCTATAGATTTCACCAGCAGTTGCAACTATCTCCTCTTCCAGGCCCCTCACAAAAACTCCTCCCTTTCCATCTTCCATTAGAGCTATCGGCTTCTTGGACTTTTCCTCTAAGAGCCTTGGTTCTTCAGGAGCCAGAAGATCTGTTATCTCCTCATTATATAGCTCTAGAAATGAAACTTTCATACTATACTCAGAATTCTGAGCCTCAAGCTTATCAAAGATCTGACGAACAGACCTCGGAATAACACCAGCATCATTTGGAAATTCTCCATTCTATATAAATTGTTATTCAAAACATGGCACACAGCTATTAATTAATAGATTGAAAATAACTAATACGAGCATTAAAAGAAAATTTAACCTTTGCATTAACAGCTCCTCCTTCCATAGTGTATGTTTTTCCGGTGCCTGTCTGACCGTATGCAAATATAGTACAGTTATAACCCTCAAGAACTTCTCTCACAATAGGGGAGACTGCTTGCTCAAACAAATCATTTTGCAGTGATGATGGGCCGAAGACCTATGGGATTACACTAAACTTATACCAGAGGAAAGAACTCAGAATTTTTTTTTAATTAGGTATTGGATATCAAACCTTATCAAAAGTAAAGGTCTTATCAATCTGCTTGTTAGCAATGTTCTGAACAGCAGAAACTTCTCTCCGCTGATCGTTGCAGGATATCACCACTGGCGTGTTGAATCTCATCTCATCATCATTCAAAGGCCTAAAACAGTTCAAATAATTGAAGGAAATCAATTAAGTGAACATACACAATCTAAGATTTCATGAAAAGCTAAATTGTTCGCGGATTGACGTCCTTACCGGCATCGGACAATGACCTGAATATTGACCCCCTTGTCTTTATCATGCTTGCTGTTGGAGTTACTACTGGTATCGTTTGCTCCTTTACTCGACCTATCGCTGGATCGAGGGGTCTGCGGTGAAATAGGTATAAGACCTCCTTTCCTCTGAGAATTATCCATCAGCAAACCACTGGGAGAATCCGAATCTGCCGGCGATGATCTAAACCATGAACCCACTCAAAAGTTTCAGCAAACCTTTAGTTTCTTGAATCCTAAAGATGATAAAAAGAAACGCTAATCCTAGCCCTAAGGTTGGTTTTATTCTCCCGGATACAAATTCAAGAACACAAGAAATAACAAAGGGAATGAGAAGCAAAATCTTTTGTAGTTAAAAAAAAAACTGAAAAAGGATGAGTAATGCGTAAAAGAGGAAGAGCGATGAAGATAAAAGGAGACTGGAGGCTTACGAGCGACCGGGGAGAATAGGCGAATAGATGCAATACTGGCGAAGAGTTCTAAGTGAAAAAACACAAAATTGTGTTTCCGCTTCTCTTCTCGTTTCGAATGCAATCGGAATTTATTGGCGAATTTACGTTTGTTACGAATAGAACAAAGGCTAATTAAGTCGCGTGGAAGTGAGATGAGAGAGACGCATATAGGAAAGGGTAAGAGCTCAGAGACAGCGCTATGTGGCTGACTAGCCGTTACGAGTAGGATTCGAACGTTGGAAGCCGTCCAACCGGTCTATTATATTCAAAATTTTAAAGCAAAAAATTGCGCCATAAGATGTCTTTTAATTTTGTCACATCTTTTAAAGAAGGGAGATTTATATACATATCATCCTATAGTATTATATTTACATATTTAACATCTAAAACTTTAATATTACATACATATCACCCTTAGTTCATTTTCATATCAAATATAAGTGCTATAAATGAAATATATGAGTGATAGGAAGGAAATATGAGTGGCATATTTGATATTAAAATAATATAGAGTGGTATGCATGTAATATTAAAGTTTTAGGTGTTAGATATGTAAATAAGATGATATAAAGTGGTATGTATGTAAATTTCCCGTTAAAAAATAAATGATTAATCTAAATTTTAAATTTAAAAGAAAGAAATTTTAATTTTTTAAACATGTGATTGAATTTGAAGGATATCCTAACACATTGTAAGTAACATTGCTCTAACATACTTTCTTTTTTAATTTTAATTATTCTTTTTTTTTAAATACAATAATTTAAAATATGTAGAACTTGGAAGTTGGAAAAGCATCATATATTTATTATTATTATTATTATTTATTTTGGATGCCCAGTGAGGAAGGACAATATTCGAACACATCATTCTTATTAGAACTCATGCCTTTGAGATAAGGGCCTAAGCACCAACTAATAGGCCATGAGACTACAAACCATCAAATTATAAATAATGATTAGCATCTAGCTAGTTATCAATCTATGGATTATAAAGTATGGTTGTAATTACTTTTATAACTCAAATTGCTCAAATGTTGGAGTAAATTTTCATGGCATTAAGTTTCAATCAAGTTAATGAATAAAAAATGATTAAGACCAAGCACAAATCAACTTTCAATTTAGTCGAATTTGAATCACTTCTAACTAACTTGAGAAGTGAAATACACACACAAACATGCAATTCTTAGATCTTGAAACTATTTGAAATTGATCTGAAATTATTCCAGACACTATTTAAACTTCAACTTTTGTAAATTTAAAGTTGACAAAATTTGATATAGTAAGATAAATCTGAGGAAATCAAAATTCTGTGATTTTAAATGCATAAAAGCCCAAAACTAACCCAAACTAAACTAGTTTTTCTGATCCATATATTCTCCCTTTGATATGCAAGTCTAAGTGACAATATTTAATATAGGCATTGCCTATCTAGTCAACCAAAAGCAACCCCAAACTCCTCTGTTTGGATGATTTCATATTTGATTTTAACTCATGATAAGGTGTTGTTATTTACATGATATTTATAAAGAACATTTTTTAGCCTAAAGCATTTCAAAGCTATTGAAACCTATATAAGTGATAAAATCATAGGCAATTCATAATGTTTATTGGCTCTCAAGAAGAATAGTATTTTGCATAGGAGTTCCCCGCCACTTTTTGATAACTCCAAATTTAATTCCTATGTAGCCTCAAATTTATTTTGTCTTGCACATTGATGAGGAGATTGTTATGATGATTTAGGAGTTGTTGGAGTTGTCAAGAGAGGTTTAGAGCTTGTGGAAGATAGTAACTAGTTTTAGGGTTTTTGGATAAATTTCTTGTTGAAATTTTCATACATTGGATGGTAAGATTTGTTCTATAAGGACTTCTATATTAGAATTTTGGGGTAATTTTATTATATGGCCTAGTCACAATAAATAAACATGAGTTAGGATTTTATGAAAGGAGTATAGCTTGATTTTTGTGGGGTTTAAAGTGGGTTAAGGAAGTGGGTTAAGGCTTTGGGAATGTGATGGGGATCATGTATGAGAATAAGAAATAAGTGAGAAATATATGTTAGGGTTCTCACAACTTATTGCATTTTATTCATAAATTAATTCAAAAGCTATAGGCACTAATTCCATTTAGACATAAGTTTTTATTATAGATTAAAATTGTTTTTTTATTATGTAGATGGGAGGGCCATATTGAATAAAAAAAGATACTTTAAAATGATATTGATTCTTAAATAGTTTTTTGGGTATAGATATTTGATTTATTCCCAACACCTATAGGTATAAAATTATGACTTCATTTGGGACAGTTTTCTTCTTACTTTTTAAAGCAGCTTTCTAGTACAAAAATATTTTATTTGAAAAAATTGTACTAAAAAATTGCTTTAGCAAGCAGCAAGAAAGTTGTCCCAAACAAAGCCTATATTTATTACCGTAGATCAAAGTCTATTTACAAAGGAGAGTTTCCTTCATTAATTTAAAACAATCCAGTATTGTGTGATAAAATTGTCTTGCTGCAAATTGCAGTATCTGTAAGAAGATAAGAGCATGGCTATATATTTTTGTTATTGTTAGTTACTCCTTTACCCAATAGATTCTAGAGTATTATTTGTTATTCTTCTTCTTTTTATTATATTATAATGAAATAACAATTTTAATTCAATATTTCTATACTAAATAGATGCTTTAAAAAACAGTAAGAAAGCTGTCTCAAATGAAGCCTGTGTTGTTGTCATACTGACAATTAGGGGAAAGATTGATAAGTTGATTCAAGCTATAAACTTGTTTCTTGCCTAACACTTTCGGTCCTCACAGGAGTATTTATAAAATCTAAGCTTTTTAAAATGGATGTACTAATTTAGGCTTCGTTTGAGACAGCTTTTTATTGCTTCTTAAAATAGCTTTATAGTAAAAAATTCAATTTTTGTACCAGAAAGTTGTTTTAAGAAGTAATAAGAAAGTCGTCCCAAACAAAACCTTAGTTATATTCTCTTCAAATATAATACTACCATTTTATGAGTTTGCGAGCAAAAAAGGAAAAAAGATATATATATATATATATATAATTTGTTTAAGAAATTTGTTTACAATTAGCTTAAAACCTTATGCAACATTTTGCAAGAACAAATGAAGAAGTTGTGTTAAAAGTTTGTATAAATTATTTCCTAAAGTTTTTTTTTTTTGTATAAATTATTTCTAATGTGATCTTCCCACAGCCTTTAAACATTATGTTCAAAATTAACTAGTTTGCAAATAATAAAAAAATCCTACAGTAGTCTCTAAACTATTCATGCATGGCCATTTTACTGCTAGAAAATCACATTGCTCCAATTTTGTTCATCAACTATATAAAATTGATCCAAAAGGATCGCTTACATTGTAATTGTGATATAAAATTAATCCCGATTAAGTACGACTATCAAAAATTAAGCTCTATTTAGTCTCAATAGGATCATTGTAGATCAATTTTGTATAGTAGAGATACTAAATTAGAGCAAAGTGGTATGTTTAGACTAAATTGATCATATAAAAATAGTTGGGGGACTAGTTTAAAGATTACTCTGCAAATGATATAAAGAAAGAACTACATGAACTCATAGAGAAATGAATATACAATATCTACGTACCTATATATTGCCAATGGAGCCATACAATTAGTTCATATATAAATCAGTTTTTTTTTTTTTTTTTTGGAAAAGGGGTATCTACCCACTGCCCCCCCATAAGGGGTATCTACCCACTGCCACCTCATAAGAGGCGCTTGGTGGTGTAACTAAACCCATCGGCAACCAGCCCCACAGATGCAAGACCCGTAGTTATTTTCTCCCCACTTAAGGGGTCGCACTGCATGAGAGGTGAATCGAACATGAGTTTGGGGATTCCCAAGTCCCAACCATGCTTGCCCACCAATCCAGCTAAGCCCGATGGGGTTACATAGAAAAGGTACAACAACTTCTATAATTTAAATTATTTTTTTCTGTGTAGTGTCTTTGATGTTTGCAACAAAGCTGTGTTGATCCTATCCAGTATATATATATTAAAATTATCTTGGTCGAGCACAAATCTCGAGGCAAAATCAGGCCGGAAGCTTAAAAAATTAAATATGGGATGATCTAAGCTCTAATTTAAGTAAACTTAAAGTCGAACTGAGCGTCTCAAAAATACAAACCTAACGACACCAAATTCAACTCAATCCGAGCCCAAATGTCTAAATCAAAGACCCGAAGTGATGTTGGAAGGTTCAAACCACAATTTGGATTACCAAACGATTTTCAAACATGACATTCTTATAGTCAAATCGAGCGGCTCGATGAGACGAATCCAACAAGCCCAAGATTGTTGAATTCTGATATCCTTAAGACCTTCAAATGTCTGACGAATAGTCCATAATCAAGGGATTCAATATCGGACGTCCATCCAAACCACTCCCCATTTGCCCTTGATCCTCTTCCTATTTACACGTCATGTCATCCTCAAAAAACTATAAATAACCCCTCATTTCTCTTAAGAGGGGACCTAAGTAAGAAGAGAAGAGAAGAGGAAGAAGAGAAGAGGAGGGAAAAAGATTCTCCTCGACTACCGCCGGAGTTCCGCCCGGCATTCAAGCTACGTCAGAGTTCTGCCCAATGTTCAAGTGCCGCCGGAGATCTGCCCAACTTTCAAGTGACGTCGGAGTTCCGTCTGACTTCCAAGTGACGTCGAAGTTCCGCCCGACTTTCAAGTGATGCCAGAGTTCTGTCCGACTTTCAAGTGACGTTGGAGTTCCTCCCGACTTCCAAGTGACGCCGAAACTCCGCCCGATCTCCAAGTGACATCAGAATTCTGTCCGATCTATAAGTGATTCTGGGATTCAGCTCGCATACACAACATCATCAAATCTCAAATTCTTGTTTGTAACTTGATTTCAATCCGGGAGTGGATCATTATAATCTGATAGTTCTAAATTTTACGGACAAGTCAGCCTCTTGTACCTCAAGTAAACACTTGTGGAATTCTCTCAACTGAGCGTAGCCCCGTGGTTTTTCCTTTTCTAGGGTTTGTACGTAAAAATCTTT